CATAAAATGCCTGGCTCAAAACAATTGTGAGAATTCAGAGCTGAATCTCTGGTGGTTTGAGCAGTAAACTAATTCATATGTGTGAGGGATATTTCACTAGTAGTCCCCAAAGCTCAGAGGATTCTATTAAGCAGGTGACATTTTCTGATTTTTAGATATCTCATTTTTTCAAATCCAAATGCTCTGGATTTCTACAAGTGTTTCTACATCATGGTTAAAAATCAGAATAACACAATTCTGCATTGGGTTGCTTTTGATAGCACAAAGCCATTGCACTGGTGTTTTGATGAGCTATCTATTCTATTTTTTTATTCTCCTTCATTCACCTGTTTTGTAATGACCTAATGTCTTACTCTCTTTCTTACATCCTCTGTTCTATTCACACCACTCTTCTTGCCATTTCTCCTTGTCCGCAAGCATGCATCTACTTGAAAGCATTCATACTTATTGCTGCTGGCCTGGAACATCCTTCCCCCAATATTCACGGCTATTCAATAGAGTCCTATTGAAAACTTTAGGTCTTCCCATAAGACTTTATTTAAAATGACAATTCCTCTTGAACACTTCTTATACCTCTTTATTTCTTTATTTTTTCCATAGAATTTACACAGTAAAACTTTCATTTTTATTTTCATTAACTATCTTCCCACCTCTAGAACAAAAACTCCATAAAGACAAAGATTTTGCTTCCTTTATGTTCTGCTATATTCTCAGCCCTTATTGTAGGTCCTCAAAAATTATGAAGTAAAACAAATATTTCATCAGAATTATCCAGTCTAAAATATTCCTATGAAAACTACAAATAGACTCTGTGAGTCTAGAAGTACTGCTTCCAAGAAAGAAGATGCTTTTACCAGGGGAAAAAGTAAGAGTCCTGCTACACACAAAGCTACAGCTGCTGCTGCTCAGCCCCACAGACAGCAGAAAAAGAAAGGAGTTAGATACTGTTGAGGTAAAGGACCATGATGATCATGAAGAAGAGGGTATCTCCTGTATACTGGGATGGGTAAGAATATGTTAGGCATTTCTTGACATCACCATGACTAAATCTATATATATAAAAGCCTAAGCGACCAGCCAACCAGCCACCAGGCCGACCAGCTGACCAGCTAGTAGCTATGACGCGCACTGACCACCAGGGTGCAGACACTCAACGAGCTGCAGTCACTTGGCTGTGGTGGTTCTTGGGTGATGCACCCAGAATCAGAGAGGAGGGAGCCTGATCCCAGGGTGCATCACCCAAGAACTGCCCTCTCGCAATCCAGGACCCCTCAGGGGATATCAGAGAGCCAGTTTTGGCCTGATCCCCACAGGCCAGGCCAAGGGACCCCACCAGTGCATGAATCCATGCACTGGGCCTCTAGTATAATTATAAATGCGTTCGTACAATAACCACAACTTAAAAGCATAATAATCCAGGGTTAAGAAACCTCAGGCACGTGATCTGGATAAAACATGAGGCAAGCCTCTTTAATGAGCAGAAGTGCTAGGAGAGGAGAGCCTAAATGTCTAGGGGCCTGGGCAGATGAGCATCGGTAATGGCTCTGGTACAAACTGCATGAGTGGGGGCCCCACTTTTGCTCAAGTACAGTTTCTTGGAAATTATAACCAACCAGAATCATTGATAAGCTTTGCCTGGATGGAGTGAACCTTTAAAAAAAAACAACAACACATGTTTTTATTTATTTGAGAGAGAGGGAGAGAGGGAGAGAGGGAGAGAGGGAGAGAAAGAGAGAGAGGGAGGAAGGGAGTGGAAGAGAGAAACATCAATATGAGAACCATTGATTGGCTGCCTCCTGCATGCCCCCTACTGGGGATTGAACCAGCAACCCGGGCAAGTGCCCTGATGGGAATCAAATAGGCAACCTCTCAGTGAATGGGAGGACACGCAACCAACTGAGTCACACTGGCCAGGGCTCGATGGAGTAAACTTGACTGAGAAGCAAGCAGATCTGAGGGGCACGAGGAGGAGACTACAGAGGAATATAGGCCGGTTCATTACCAAGGTCCTTTCTACCAGCTGTGCACCTGTCTTCCATTTGCTGTAAATGTTAGATTACTATTCATAGCCCCTGCCTTGTTTGGAGACTCACCCTATGCTAAAGAGTAGCCACTTCCCCAAGAAGGCCCCTTCATACCATGGGTAATAGATCCATAGCTAATGACAAATGGACACAAGGGTAGAAGAGGCTGTCCATCTCACCTCAAGGATGGACCAATTCTGTGGAGCAAATCATGTTTCAGAGCCTCCCAGGACCTGACCAGGCGGTTCTCCAGCCGAGACTCTATTTGTGCTGAGCTTTTGACTCCTTCTCTTGCCCGCTGCTCTCCTGGGAGCACTCTTTCAATGAATAATATAAACAAGAATTCCTGACATGGCTCTGCTTCCAGAGAACCTCACCTAAGGCACATGGCATATGCAAACCATCTCTGGAAGAATGCATCCTAAGCAGAGGCCTTTAAAATTCTCATCAATAGGATTACAATGAACATTAGCTCACAACATTTTTAAAAATTACAAATCCTAAAATAAATAAAGTATCATGAATGAGATTCACCAGAAAGAAAATGCAAAACTTTCATAAAATCATGCTCCTCAGAATGTGCTTGAGACAGAGCCTTGCGCACATGCAACAGTACAAGATTGTTCATAGAAATATCGGCCATAATGGCAAGAAAATAGAGCACCAAATGTTTACGTAGCAGAGAATAAATACCTAAATTGTGGTGACTTCATACAATAAAATATGGTGCAACATTAAAAAAAATAATAAACTACAGCTACATGCCATCAACTATAATAAATGCCACAAATATATTGTCCGGCAAAATAGAAAATTACAGAAAAATACAATATAATGCTATTACATAAATTCAATAACAACCAAAAATTAAGCAACATGCCATTTGGAGATATATACGTACATGGTGAAATAAAAAACAAAGGAATTATAATCACAAAATTTAGAATAGTGATTATCTTGGGGAAAAGGCAAAGGATGAAATCAGAGTGGCAGACACAGCCAGTTTCAAGAGAATTAGAAATGTTACATTTCTCAATTGGGTGGTGAGCACACGGGTGTTCGTTTTATGAACATTCCTGAAATGCACATACACATTCTACTTCTTATTTTAAATGTAAAATACTATAAACTAAAGGGACATTTTGTATGGAAAGTATAAAAGAAAGAAAGGAAGGAAGAGGGGAATAAGGAAAAAGGAAAGTATGGAGAAATCTGTTCTCAAAGCTTCATCCAAAATATCAGTGATAAGGTGGGAATGAAACACCAAAAGGGCACAAAATTTACAATGTACTGGGTTTGGCACTTTAAGTAGGTTTTCTGAAATGTGTAATCTCTTTGTCCAAGAAGTATTTTCTTGGCAAAAAGTAAGGAAAAACTTCAGTTTCAGAGTTAGCATAGACCATAACACAACTTAAAAATTATCAAACGTAGCTTTAAAAATAGTCTCTGCAGAGTCGTCTTTGTGCGTGGTTCTCTTAGCGACCCCATCACTTGGCTTTGCAGAGGGAAAGCATCTTTCTCACAAACCCTTGCTTCACCAGGCTGACGCCCACAGTTCCTGTGAGTCTCTCCATCTTCTCTCAACTATTTTTTATAAGCTGGGAAGGGAGGTACATATATATCTCCAAATGGCATGTTGCTTAATTTTTGGTTGTTATTGAATTTACATAATAGCATTATAGTCCTCCAGATAGTAAGGATGACATGTCTTCTCTTAATAAGACCAAGACAGGGGGGCTGGCCCCAGTGGTTTTCAACTCTTTTTAAAGGTGAGTATTTAACTCTATTTTGTCCTTAAGTTTGGTTCAATGTTTCTACTTTGGAGGCACAGGGAATAATGTCCTAGGACGCTCAACATCTTTTATTAATACCAATTATTAAAGAGAATTTAAAGTTTGATATGTGGATCAGTGTGCAGTATTAAAGAAAACTCTAAAATATATATAATAAACATACACAATGGGACAAAAACAGGATTATGAAATATAAAAGACATCTTCATAAAATTCATATTTAGAAAGATGGCTCTGGTTTAAACACAGGTGGAAAAGATTTTGTCTGATAAGCATCACTCCTTCATGCCACATCTTTCCTTTCCCTGCTGTTAATGCTCCATGGAATGCTAATTAAATGCACACATGTAACTAATTTAAGTGTTACAGAATTCAAGGTGGTCTTAACTCCCCTTTCACCCCAACACAAAATCAGAAAGTTGCTAGCCTGTAGAATTTACCGAGTACTGAGGATTAAACTGTAAAATCATATTTCAGAGAAAAATCTGAATTGACTTCTCAGGTTATAAATACATGCTTATGGTAGGGACAGTTTAGAAATAGCCCCATTTTCATTCACTTGGAAAGAGGTAGTTACTCATTATATTGAGTCTCACGCTCAGGAAAGAGAACAGACAGGACATAATTTTGAGCTGTCAAGCTTAAAACATGTATGAAACAAATATTCTCACTCTGTTCTATAGCAGAATTAGAATGCTAAATATCAGACTAGACAGAGAGTCCAAATGGTGGCTACAAAGGTACCCTGGCACAAAGAAGTATGATTCACAAAAAGCCCTGAAGGAAAATTTCCATATATGCATATTGTTAAGATACATGTCATTAAAGATGCTTTCATTATGAGGATGACTACAACCTGAAACTCGTCTTTATTACGTGTCAACCCGACATTCCAACATCACTCTCTTTAAGTAGTAAGTGATGTGAAAGTGTGAGTCACAATTCCATACTCTTTGAACACTATTTGCAGAAATGGCAACTATCCTGGAAACATTTACATAGTCATGCTTCCCCTATCAAAGCCATAGTAAGGATAACTATCTCTGCATTTTTACTTAAAGAGAATTGCCAGGGGGACCCATATCCAGTAAAATTAATATCCCAGTGAAGATGGAACATAACAGTCAGTGTTGAAGGAAGTCACCTTCTCCAGGTGGCTGAGAAAGAAAACAGAAGAGCTTACCTTTATGATGGTTTGCGCTGGATATGACTTTCCCCCACAAGGTTACAATAAATATTATTATTAGCAGTTTCCCTTTTGTTGCTTTCTGTAAGTATCCCTTACTCATCCTGCAAATAGAAAATAATAATAAAAATCCTAAGTATATGAAGCCATTGCTTTTCCATTATAATTATGCCACATTAAAGCTTTTCATGACACCTTAACCCACTTAACTCCTGAAAATTGCATTTATCATATTTAAAATGCTGTCCGTTGTATATAAACTATGAAGAGAAAAAATGTTTTCTAAGCAACCTTCATATGAGATAAGAGAGGTTCTGCCTAAGTCAGTCTTCATTCACTTAACAATAGCCTAAATCAAATGAGAAATAGTACCATTTTCCTCTCCACACATAACTATTCACAAAATCAAAGGCACAGTTGTTTGAATAATCTCTAAATAGTGACTTATTTTACTTTTTTTCTAAATATTCCTTCTTCAATGCCAAGTCAAATGGTCAGGGTAAGCAGTTTAAATAAAATGAGCTAGATGAATTTCTGCACAGAATAAAATCACTTCAAATCTATGCTTTTTTTAAAAAAAAAAAAAGTCACCAGGTACAATAGCTTTGTCATTATACATCACTACTGCTGGAGATACGCAGATATTTTAATATTGTTGAACTCCTCTGTGCTGTACTTATCAGAAGTAGGAAAAAAATGGAAAAGCAGATAGAAAAAGTACCAACTTAACATTCTCAAGTTGAGCTCACAAAACTAAGGAAAGCAAAGAAATGTTATAAAATCATAGCTACTTACAATAAAAGTTCAGCACCTACTTTCTCTAGCACTTTATAGAATATTATTTCAATTGCTCTTCAGAACAAATTCGAGATATTGGTATAACTATCCCCATTTCATAGATGACAAAATTTGGAAATTGGCCTGAGGTAATGTTTAATAATAAAAACCCAAACCCAGAATTGTCTAATATTAAAATCCTATATTACTACATTGCTAACAGGTAAGCAAAACTAATATAAAGTATAGTCATTGTGCATTTATTTTTAGGGAGATAAAACATATGTCCGTCACTCAGTGCCTTCTCAATTTCACTCCTGCTTGACCTGCAGATTCTTGCCTTGGTTCGACTGCAAGTAAGTTCATGAGTTCAGTTCCTGACCTAGCCCGATTCCTCCTGAATTCTCCAAGTCAGCTTTTTCTCCCACCTTTGTTTCCCATTATACCAGCTCCAAAAATATGACTCAATGGTAGCAATGGTGGCTATACAATCTTGAAAAGAAGCCTTTCATATTGATAAATATGTAAAAAAATAAATTAATATATTATGTATCTGTAATATACAGACAGTCCTCAGGTTACGTCACCATCTCCCATTTATTTCTTAAAAAAAAAAGTTCCGTCATTTCGACGTATGTACATATGTGCTTTATGTTTTTTATTATTTATTTGCCACAAGGAAAGGTCAGGAATTGTTATCTTTCTTTTAAATTTTTTTTACTGTGTCACTTCATTATTGTTGTGTATGTGCTCCATGTGAGTGACGTAGGTGTTTTTGTAGGTGGGTTCCAACTTACGGTGAAAATCACGTTATGTCGCCATAGGAACGGATCTCCGGCGTAACCCGAGGACCTACTGTACATGTATGCTACCATTTCTTAGCCTTGTGCACACTCATTCAGATGCTGAGAAAGCAACGTTGTATGATTAAGAATATAGATTCACTCTTAAGTCTTACTGTCTGGATTTGAATCCAGGCTCTACCAGCTCCAAATTGTGTGATCTTGTGTGGGTTTCTGATCTGGTTCTTCAGTTTCTTCTTCTGTAATATGGAATAATGCATGTGAAATGCCTGGCCCACTGGCTGACATGTACAGGGAGCAACAACTTTGAGGTTAGAGAATGTTCAGTCATTTGGATGTTATGTTGATCCTTGAGTACATGAGAGGACAGTCCCATTTATGTGGTGAATGAAGGGAGTTTCAGTGGCATCAACAGCCTGAAGTTCATTGTGGACCTTGATCTTGTAACATGTCAGATTGTGTACAAAGGGATAGGTGCCTAACTTTTTAGATTAAACTGTTTGGTTTGAAATTTCGCTTCCTACCTACTGACTATATGACTTTGGACAAATTAGTTAATAACTCCGAGTTTTTGTTGTCACTAAAATGAGGATTATAATAGTATCTACTTCATAGTGTTGTAGATATGAAGACTAAATAAGATAACTCATGTAAGAGTTTAACATTATGCATAGAAGATAATAAAAGCTCAGTAAGTACTAATCCTTCCTATGATCATAACTTAGACCAGCATTCTCCTAATTGTGTCTTGTGAGGCACCAGTTCCACAGAATATTACTGCAGTATCAGTGAAAAAAATTGGGGCAAATTTATTTGTAAAATTCTGGGTTCAACAGCCCTGGCCAGTGTGACTCAGATGATTGGGTGTCATCCCATACACTAAAAGGTTGCTGGGTTTGATTCCAGTCGGCACATGCCCAGGTTGTGGGCTTGTTCCCTGTTAGGGGGTGTGCAGGAGGCAGCCAATTAATGTTTTGCCCTCACATTGATGTTTCTCTCTCCTCTCTCCCTTCCTCTTTCTCTAAAAATCCATAAAATATATATATATTTTTTAAATTTTGGGTTCAACAAATTTAAGCAGATGTTTTTAACAAGAGGCATATCTGAATGTGTGACATTTTCCAAAAACCTCTCTCTACAGAGTATCACATGATACAAGTGCCATCAGGAAACCTCTTAGAGAAATAATCTGTTATAATATTCTCCCCTCAATAGACAAATGCCTATTTTCAATCTTTCATTGCCTTTGTTTCCCCTCAGCCTTCTTACTACTAACTTTGTTACGACACTCTACATTTTTCTCACTTTTTGCCAATGATCTTGCCTCCCCTTCTACATCCAATCCCTGCAGCTTTATTGTACTGCATATCATCTTTTAAAAAGTAGCCGTTTAGAAAAACTCATCTGACAAGAAGAGCTGCTTAGCATAATACTTGGTAATAGCTTTCCCATAGCAAATGGTCTCTGCTACAAGGTCAATGATCCATTGTATTTCCATTCCACTATGCACCCACCAAATGAGATGACAAAACTGACAGCTGGTCAAACAGATAACTATACATATGAAATGGAAACATCCACAACATCACCAGGCTGTCAAACTAAAAGAGGAAGCAGAATGAAGGTCAACATTTGGGGGTCTCTAAAGACCCATGCCTTCTCCCTCTTACCAACCCCATCCCTGACCAGTCAGTTACCATCTTCTCTTAATACTACTTCCTCAATATCTCCTAAATGTATACACTCATTTCCATCCCTATGCCAATACTCTAGACCACAAAATCTTTCACAGGTTATTGCCTCCTAACTGGACTTTCTGCCACCAAAATTGCCATCCTCTGGAACTAAAGGCAGGCTTGGTATCTGCCTTTTACACAACTATACTTGCAATATTTAGCACTTCGTAAGTGCCTGATAAATATTCTTGACTGAATGTAATGCATTCTCTATGCTGTAGCCAAATATGTAACTATGATCATGAGACACCCTTCATAAGATTAAAATCTTCACATGATTCCCCTCTACATTCAGAGGTAGAAAATGCTATAATCCTTAGCAAGGTATAAAAACCTGTATCAGGGTTTTAAAAAAAAATTGTTTTTGACTCATTACGTCTCTAATCTGATTTTATGATGTTCTTCCCATCACTTTATTTTAACTCTACTAAATTTCTTCAGTGCTTTCCAGCATACCTCATCTCCATGTCACCTGAAACATATCAGCCGCTCACCCCATCCCCCATCCACTCTTCGAAATGCTAACTTCTATTCATTGGTCAGAGTGCAGGTTAGAATTTCTCCCATCAGATTTGTCCAATGTTGAGCACCCTTCTTTATGCACCATAGCCACTTGCCACAATGATTATAATTTTCCATTTACTTATCTCCATCCTCCACTCTAATATAAGATCCCTAAAGACAGGGACTGTGTCCAATACATTTGTGAATATCTACAGCTTGGCCCAAAGTTGAGCTTAATAACTGGTAAATGAGTATTTGTTGAATGTTGGTGGTGTCTTAAAGCCAAATATAGTGTGTAGTTGTCAATGTGAGGAGGAAGAAGTGTGTGTAATTTCTTTAGGATGAAATGACAAAAGGACAAATAGGAAGAAAAATGTAAGAAAGAGGTGGGGGAGGGGAGATGAGAAAGGCAAACGGGAAAAGAAGAATGCAGAAATCTAATCTGTAATGAGTTTTATTCTGACTTTTAAATAAGAATCACGCTGTGAAAAGGAAGATTTTTGACAAAGGGGCAGTATCAGAGAAGAAAACCCAAAGGAACAAAGGCTGGATGGCATGTTTCTTCCTGATCTTGTGTGGGAGCCACAGGCGGGGGCATTTACTTCCCATTCAATGTGCAACCCACCAGGCCTCAGTTTAAAATTTCCCACCACAGTCAAGAATCCAACACACTTTCAGAATTGTCACATTCATCTGTAAAAACAACAAAATTTAAGTGAAGTTTTTAACAGCAAAAGCTGAGGGGAAAAGAAACAGGAAACTGCAGGATAAATACACACAGAGAAGGAAACCTTGAAATTGTTCCCCAAGCAGCAGCCGCCTGCCCACAGCACAAGGGAAACGGATAACTGAGAAATGGTAACCTTGGCAGTGAAGGATGCTGAAGTGGAAAGTTGTCAAAGTTGTGGACTGACAAGTACATCTCAGACTTCCTCCCACTCTTCTCTTCTGCATTGCATTTCACAGTTAGACTCACTGAGATGTAGACTTTTGGATGATATTGAAACCCTTCCCCTCCTGACCTATGCTAAAAGTGCATTTAATATTAAATAAACAAGAACTGAAAAACTGTTATGCTATTAGAAAAACCATTTCCCCCTATAAACAGAAAGTAAGCTTAACTGGTCTAAAGAAGAGAAAAATGGAAAGGAAAAGGAAATCTTATACAGAAAGGAGATAAAAGCTGTCCTCCCCTTGAGCGTAAGGCACTTCTGTGGACATAAAGGTCACATAAGGCAATACATATAAAAGGCTCTGTAGGACCCTGGTTTCAGACCAATCCCC